TATAGCCCCCCCCCCCCTAGATATCTGTTACTATAGCCCCCCCCCCCCTAGATATCTGTTACTATAGCCCCCCCCCCCTAGATATCTGTTACTATAGCCCCCCCCCCTAGATATCTGTTACTATAGCCCCCCCCTAGATATCTGTTACTATAGCCCCCCCCCCTAGATATCTGTTACTATAGACCCCCCCCTAGATATCTGTTACTATAGCCCCCCCCCTAGATATCTGTTACTATAGCCCCCCCCCCTAGATATCTGTTTCTATAGCCCCCCCCCTAGAGAGCTGTTACTTCCCCCCCCCCTAATATCTGTTACTATAGCCCCCCCCCCCTAGATATCTGTTACTATAGCCCCCCCCCTAGATATCTGTTACTATAGCCCCCCCCCCCTAGATTCTGTTACTTATAGCCCCCACACCCCTTGATATCTGTTACTATAGCCCCCCCCCCCCTAGATATCTGTTACTATAGACCCCCCCTAGAATATCTGTTACTATAGACCCCCCCCCCTAGATATCTGTTACTATAGCACCCCCCCCCCCTAGGATATCTGTTACTATAGACCCCCCCCTAGATATCTGTTACTATAGACCCCCCCCTAGATATCTGTTACTATAGCCCCCCCCCCCCTAGATATCTGTTTAGCTATAGACCCCCCCTAGATATCTGTTACTATAGCCCCCCCCTAGATATCGTTACTATAGCCCCCCCCCCCTAGAGATCTGTTTACTATAGCCCCCCCCCCCCTAGATATCTGTTACTATAGACCCCCCCCCCCTAGATATCTGTTACTATAGCCCCCCCCCCCTAGATATCTGTTACTATAGCCCCCCCCCCCTAGATATCTGTTACTATAAGACCCCCCCCCTAGATATTCTGTTACTATAGCCCCCCCCCCCTAGATATCTGTTACTATAGACCCCCCCCCCTAGATATCTGTTACTATAGCCCCCCCCCCCTAGATATCTGTTACTATAGCCCCCCCCCCTAGATATCTGTTACTATAGCCCCCCCCCCCCTAGATATCTGTTACTATAGACCCCCCCCCCTAGATATCTGTTACTATAGCCCCCCCCCCCTAGATATCTGTTACTATAGCCCCCCCCCTAGATATCTGTTACTATAGCCCCCCCCCCCTAGATATCTGTTACTATAGCCCCCCCCCCCTAGATATCTGTTACTATAGCCCCCCCCCCTAGATATCTGTTACTATAGCCCCCCCCCCCTAGATATCTGTTACTATAGCCCCCCCCCCTAGATATCTGTTACTATAGCCCCCCCCCTAGATATCTGTTCTAGCCCCCCCCTAGATATCTGTTACTAAGCCCCCCCCCCCCCCCTAGATATCTGTTACTATAGACCCCCCCCCTCTCCCTGTCTCCATTATTAATGAGCTGAGCTTGTCCTGTTGTATTGACCCCCTAGTGTGGACTACCTGTTAATTTCTCAACGTGTTAGTTAACAGTACTTGTAAGGGTGGGTTTATAAACGCACTCTCTAGACTGTTGTTGTTACTAGTTACTACCCTTACAAGCAGTGTCGTAAGTTGTAAGTTAGTACTAACAGTGAGAGTGTTCTCTTTCGTAACGTTAGTTTTTTAGTTAGTTTCTCAGATTTATAGAAGCTTCTCATTTTGTTTGTACTGACTTGTAACCGTGTCTAACTTGTGCTGTAGTGTCTGTTTCTCAGATTATAGCTTATTATTATTATGATGACGATTAGCTTTTTAAGCTCACTAAACTTAGATAAATTAGATAATTGGCATTTATTTAGTTATTATGCAACATACAAACAATGAAAACTAAAGCTAGCTGACCTTGTCTGAGCAACATATTCTCCTTTTCAATCTCATGCTCGCATATTATTGTATATTACACATATTTACTCGCCATTTAAACATTAAACGTTTCCCAGAATTACGCCTGTCTGACCCCTAACTCTGTCCTAGTACCTATACTTAGTATAGTGTCCTGGTATAGTGTCCTAGTATAGCCACTGCCCCTATGTAATGAAATGTCAGCTCTCTCATACTCTCTCAGTTCTCACTGTGGTATTAACCCAGTGGCCTTCAAACCCTACTTCCTAGCAATTTCACCCTTACACTATGGTATTTCAACCCACTATAATATGTATAATATGTAAGATATTTTATTGAGTGTGATACGCACACATTGCGTTGCAGTGAAGTAGAGCGTGTTATAGTGTGTGAAAGTGTGAGTGAGTGGTAATCGTGTCGTATTTTATGTTGTTTATTTTGGAATTCTGGTGCTAACTTCGTCAAGCAAATGATGGAACCTCATTATTCAGTTTTATTTAGTTTTATTCAGTTTTATTATGCTGTATATTCAGTTTTATTCAGTTTTATTCAGTTTTATTATGCTGTATATTCAGAGTGTATGTGGTCCCGTGTGACTGTGTTAATAGTTACTACTATCTACACACACGTTTAGTGTACTAACTACACACAAGTTTAGTGTACTAACTACACACACTATAATAACTTGTTATTGTGGCTTGTACCAGGTAGTCAGTCCCCAGTAGGTAGGATGTAGATGACATGTAGTTGTTAACCAGTAACCGCACTAATTCTGCACTGTTACTGTATTTGTCACTTTGTTACTCAGCTGTGCTGACTTGCTCTCTTCTTTTGGTAGTTTGTAATTTAACAGTGTTTAATTCTGTTTAATTCTGTAATTGTAATTTGTACATGTTCTGATGTAGGGTAGTTGCAGCCAACTAGACACTATTAGTAGGCTAACAGCTTAGTATTGCTCTGTTGAAGGTTGTAAGTTGTTTTCTCATAACTCAATGTACTCAATGTCATAATGCATTGCTGCAAATTGCTAGATATTCAGCGGTATACAATTACATAACACAGTGATACAGAAAGGTTATTGATGTTGATACTTGAGATGCTTTGCAGCCAACTAGACACATATGTTTAATGCCATATAAGCATATAAGCAGTTTTATTGCTGCAACATTCTAATAATTACAGAATGCACGTGTAGTTTTAGCACTAGTTTAGTGTAGTGATACTTAGTTATATTGTATCACTTGTTTAGAATGTTTAATGTGTATACATTGCTTTGCAACTAGTATTGACATGATTATGTAACTCCCTTAGAACAATCGATTATACCTTACATAACCAAAAAAGCAATAAAGCACTAGAACACAGCCCTGTACAGCCCTCTAGCTCACTACATAATATTACTGTCAGGTTATTAAAGGAATCCTATAACAGTCACTCTGTTACTCCTTTATAAATAATACTGTTCACTACTCCTACTAGCTACTAGTTCACTACTCCTGCTAGCTAATATATAATATATCCCCCATTTAATATATCCCCCATTTGTTAATATATCCCCCATTTGTCACCATGCTGCTATATCTGTACGTTTTAATAGCCGGCACAAGCTCACTCACTGAGGACCTTTATTTTGGGGGACTGTTTCTATTTTATCCTGTGTGTTCTGTTTTAACCTAGTTTGTTTATGTGTTTCACAGTGTGTTCCACTGTGAAACACATAAACACACAGTGTGTTTCACTGTGTGTTTGTTTGCATTTCATTTTAGAAGCTAGGTTTTGAGTAGTGCACTTTTCATGCCAGGTTTCAGCTTTACTTGTTTCAGCTTTACTTGTTTCTATTTATTTCACAAAAGAAAGTAGACTCAGTGGCGAAACGTACATTTCAGTCACCAGTTAACTTGCTAACTAAAATGCACTAATGGTAGCTACATTTAGAATTACCCCCGTAGAAACCTACTTACTTTAGGGAGTAACCACACTTTAAGTCACACTTTAGATCCTCACGTTACACTGTTACAGTCTTCTAACTTGGACCCTGTTATAAGGTTGTTGCAATATATGCTACTTAACGTCGAAAGCTTCCGTAACACTTGTTCCTTAGTCCGTAAAGGGAGGGGGAGTGAGGGGGGATCAGCCATCAGGTACTTAGTCCATGAGGGGAGTGAGGGGGCAGTGAGGGGAGCATCCGGTAGAGTTATCAGAACATTGACCGTTATATAGCTGTCAAATGTCAATAGGTTAGGGTAGGGTTTTCAGCCGTTTGCCGCCCCTTCAGCTTTTTGCTGCCCCCTACAGCTTTTTGCCGCCCCCTTTTTGCCACCCCCTTTTTGCCGCCCCCTTTTTGCCGCCCCCTTTTTGCCGCCCCCTTCAGCTTTTTGCCGCCCCCTGGGAGCATATTGCACCCCAAATATTTTTTCTCGTCGACCGAACGTTCAATATGACAGGAGGGGTAGGTGGGCGGGTCCGTACTTTAAGTAGGTACTTTAAGGTCTCGTAATATTATCAATATTATAGATATAGTTTAGTCTTATATACCTCCTGAAAGTAAACGGCGTTTCTTATTACTTTTTTAGTGGTGTTCACTGTTCAACCTATATTGACGGCTGAGCCTCTACTAGAAAATGGCATTATTGAAGTTAAATCTCCCGATATTTCACTATTTTTCACCACCTTGTGCATTTTTTGAAATGCCCAAATGAGGTATAACCCGAGTACAATCCAATTACTTTCCCAGTGCACTGAGCTCTGTGAACCAATCAGCAGCCAGCTTTTCCCGCACGTGTGTTTTGTGAACCAATCAGCAGCCAGCATTTCACCTACTTGCTCGTCACGTGTTATATTGAAAGACACTCACAGTTCACTCTGTTTGAAGCTCTGTAGTGCACCTCTAAATACTAAACACTACTGTTTAACATTTCTAGCTGGAGCTATTACTGCAGCATTATATATTCTGCCGTTTTCGGACAAATGTGCTTGAAGACCATTTTTGAAATTTTGGATTATCTTATCCGAATTTATTTGTAGGGTCAGGAACTATCCCTGAAAACCATCAGAAGCCATTAGATTCAAACCTCGGATTTTTGAGTGATATTTAAGCATATTTGTCAGAAAACGGCAGTTTTGCAACTTAAACTGCAGCATCCTGTAGTTAGTCCGTCGTTATTTGTTGTTTGACTGCATGCAAGATGTGCACTGTGCAGGTAGCTATTAATACAGGTAGCCATTATTAAAAACTTAGTTTCTAGTCTCCGCTCTGCCAGCTTTATACTCGAACTAGTGTAACCGTGCCTTATAAGCGATAGGCTCTTCAGGAGATAAAGTTAAGGGGGCAGGGGGGGTCTTCATGGAAATTTTCTCAAAATCGACTTTTTAGTTATTTCTGATAGAGGGGAGTGATATCTATCAGATGCTTTTAATCCTATAGAAAAATATTGTTCCTAACCGAAATTATCGCCGGTAAAAGATCAGCGCTTGTGTGTAATTGTATTGCGCGAGCGATTTTTGATCGCATGCCCTGAAAATCGAGTCTAAAAATCTATCTTCTCTTACATTTTTTGAGCAATCAATCTCAAACTTTTAGAATATGCTCTAAGGATCATTTAGAAGAGATTGTCCAGGCAAAATTTTGAGATAGGCCTTTAAACATTTTTTATTCAATTTTAAAAATCTTGGACCTCGAAAAATCGTCAAAAAACCAGGTCCAAGATTTTTAAAATCGAATAAAAAATGTTTAAAGGCCTATCTCAAAATTTTGCCTGGACAATCTCTTCTAAATCATCCTTAGAACATATACTGAAAGTTTGAGGGTGATTGCTCAAAAAACGTAGGAGGAGATAGATTTTTAGACTCGATTCTCAGGGACGCGATCAAAAATCGCTCGCGCAATACAATTACACACAAGCGCTGACCTTTTACCGGCAATAATTTCGGCTAGGAACAATATTTTTCTATCGGATTAAAAGCATTTGATAGATATCACTCCCCTCTATCAGAAACAACTAAAAAGTCGCTTTTGAAAAAATTTCCATGAAGACCCCCCCTGCCCCCTTAAATATCTCTAAAAGTTTAAGATCTGCTAAGTGACGTTCTGTTATTTCATTTTAACCTTTTTGTCCTCCTTTTTTCCATTCACCAAAATCAATTTTTTTGCATTTTAATTAGTCAAATAAACAAAATTAATTGATACGAGAATAACGAACCTATATAAAAGTATAAAGAGAACTAATCACCTCGCCCCAGTTATCAGCAAGACAGGAGTACCTGGTCTCGCTCCGTAACCAGATCACCCTTTACATGGACCTGTGTACTGAAGTGGAGGTCAAGTTGGGGGATGTGTCCAGTACTCTCGATAAACCAAACCTCTGGTTATCTAGCTCACTGGATGGAGGACTGCAGGAACAGCTCGATATCACCAAGGTTTGTTATTACCTCCCTACCTCCCTACCCCCCTACCTCCCTACCTCCCTACCTCCCTACCTCCCTACCTCCCTACCTCCCTACCTCCCTACCTCCCTACCTCCCTACCTCCCTACCTCCCTACCTCCCTACCTCCCTACCTCCCTACCTCCCTACCTCCCTACCTCCCTACCTCCCTACCTCCCTACCTCCCTACCTCCCCACCTCCCTACCTCCCTACCTCCCTACCTCCCTACCTCCCTACCTCCCCACCTCCCTACCTCCCTACCTCCCTACCTCCATAATTGTAGGTTTACTTTTATCTCAATTTGAGGATTTCATTCAATCGTAGACTTTTTGCGAGACCCCTCCGTTCAGTAGTAAACAGTAAGTAAACAGTAAGTAAACAGTAAGTAAACAGTAAGTAAACAGTAAGTAAACAGTAAGTAAACAGTAAGTAAACAGTAAGTAAACAGAAATTAAACAGTAAGTAAACAGTAAATAAACTGTAAGTAAACTGTAATTAAACTGTAATTAAACAGTAAGTAAACAGTAAGTAAACAGTAAGTAAACAGTAAATAAACAGTAAGTAAACAGTAAATAAACAGTAAGTAAACATTAAGTAAACAGTAAGTAAACATTAAGTAAACAGTAAGTAAACAGTAAGTTAATTCTCACACCGTCCAACCTGGTTAAACTTGTGAAACTGTCCTCGTTCCTAGGTGGATAGCCTACTGTTCATATTTTGTTCTTCGCACTTTACGTTTACTGTTCTGTTCTAACCGGGATTAGAACGCCTCTTTTACCTCTGGTTCTGTAGTTTAAGTGAGGTTCCTACTCGCTACCCCCGGAGTTTATTCCTCATCCCACCATCCTCGTGAGGTTCCTTCTCTCTACCCCCGGAGTTTATTCCCCCTCCCACCATCCTCGTGAGGTTCCTACTCTCTACCCCCGGAGTTTATTCCTCCTCCCACTATCCTCGTGAAGTTCCTACTCGCTACCCCCGGAGTTTATTCCTCCTCCCACCATCCTCGTGAGGTTCCTACTCGCTACCCCCGGAGTTTATTCCTCCTCCCACCATCCTCGTGAGGTTCCTACTCGCTACCCCCGGAGTTTATTCCTCCTCCCACCATCCTCGTGAGGTTCCTTCTCTCTACCCCCGGAGTTTATTCCTCCTCCCACCATCCTCGTGAGGTTCCTACTCGCTACCCCCGGAGTTTATTCCTCCTCCCACCATCCTCGTGAGGTTCCTACTCTCTACCCCCGGAGTTTATTCCTCCTCCCACCATCCTCGTGAAGTTCCTACTCGCTACCCCCGGAGTTTATTCCTCCTCCCACCATCCTCGTGAGGTTCCTACTCTCTACCCCCGGAGTTTATTCCTCCTCCCATCATCCTCGTGAGGTTCCTACTCTCTACCCCCGGAGTTTATTCCTCCTCTCACCATCCTCGTGAAGTTCCTACTCTCTACCCCCGGAGTTTATTCCTCCTCCCATCATCCTCGTGAGGTTCCTACTCTCTACCCCCGGAGTTTATTCCTCCTCTCACCATCCTCGTGAAGTTCCTACTCTCTACCCCCGGAGTTTATTCCTCCTCCCATCATCCTCGTGAGGTTCCTACTCTCTACCCCCGGAGTTTATTCCTCCTCCCATCATCCTCGTGAGGTTCCTACTCTCTACCCCCGGAGTTTATTCCTCCTCCCATCATCCTCGTGAGGTTCCTACTCGCTACCCCCGGAGTTTATTCCTCCTCCCACCATCCTCGTGAGGTTCCTACTCTCTACCCCCGGAGTTTATTCCTCCTCCCACCATCCTCGTGAAGTTCCTACTCGCTACCCCCGGAGTTTATTCCTCCTCCCACTATCCTCGTGAGGTTCCTACTCGCTACCCCCGGAGTTTATTCCTCCTCCCACCATCCTCGTGAGGTTCCTACTCGCTACCCCGGAGTTTATTCCTCCTCCCACTATCCTCGTGAAGTTCCTACTCGCTACCCCCGGAGTTTATTCCTCCTCCCACTATCCTCGTTAGGTTCCTACTCTCTACCCCCGGAGTTAATTCCTCCTCCCACCATCCTCGTGAGGTTCCTACTCTCTACCCCCGGAGTTAATTCCTCCTCCCACCATCCTCGTGAGGTTCCTACTCTCTACCCCCAGAGTTTATTCCTCCTCCCACCATCCTCGTGAGGTTCCTACTCTCTACCCCCGGAGTTAATTCCTCCTCCCACCATCCTCGTGAGGTTCCTACTCTCTACCCCCGGAGTTAATTCCTCCTCCCACCATCCTCGTGAGGTTCCTACTCTCTACCCCCGGAGTTTATTCCTCCTCCCACCATCCTCGTGAGGTTCCTACTCTCTACCCCCGGAGTTAATTACTCCTCCCACCATCCTCGTGAGGTTCCTACTCTCTACCCCCGGAGTTAATTCCTCCTCCCACCATCCTCGTGAGGTTCCTACTCTCTATCCCCGGAGTTAATTACTCCTCCCACCATCCTCGTGAGGTTCCTACTCTCTACCCCCGGAGTTAATTCCTCCTCCCACCATCCTCGTGAGGTTCCTACTCTCTACCCCCAGAGTTTATTCCTCCTCCCACATCCTCGTGAGGTTCCTACTCTCTACCCCCGGAGTTTATTCCTCCTCCCACCTATCCTCGTGAGGTTCCTACTCTCTACCCCCGGAGTTTATTCCTCCTCCCACCATCCTCGTGAGGTTCCTACTCTCTACCCCCGGAGTTTATTCCTCCTCCCACATCCTCGTGAGGTTCCTACTCTCTACCCCCGGAGTTTATTCCTCCTCCCACTATCCTCGTGAGGTTCCTACTCTCTACCCCCGGAGTTTATTCCTCCTCCCACTATCCTCGTGAGGTTCCTACTCTCTACCCCCGGAGTTTATTCCTCCTCCCACATCCTCGTGAGGTTCCTACTCTCTACCCCGGAGTTTATTCCTCCTCCCACCATCCTCGTGAGGTTCCTACTCTCTACCCCCGGAGTTAATTCCTCCTCCCACCATCCTCGTGAGGTTCCTACTCTCTACCCCCGAGTTTATTCCTCCTCCCACCATCCTCGTGAGGTTCCTACTCTCTACCCCCGGAGTTTATTCCTCCTCCCACCATCCTCGTGAGGTTCCTACTCTCTACCCCGAGTTTATTCCTCCTCCCACCATCCTCGTGAGGTTCCTACTCTCTACCCCCGGAGTTTATTCCTCCTCCCACCATCCTCGTGAGGTTCCTACTCTCTACCCCCGGAGTTTATTCCTCCTCCCACCATCCTCGTGAGGTTCCTACTCGCTACCCCCGGAGTTTATTCCTCCTCCCACCATCCTCGTGAGGTTCCTACTCTCTACCCCCGGAGTTTATTTCCTCCTCCCACTATCCTCGTGAGGTTCCTACTCTCTACCCCCGGAGTTTATTCCTCCTCCCACCATCCTCGCGAGGTTCCTACTCTCTACCCCCGGAGTTTATTCCTCCTCCCACTATCCTCGTGAGGTTCCTACTCTCTACCCCCGGAGTTTATTCCTCCTCCCACCATCCTCGTGAGGTTCCTACTCTCTACCCCCGGAGTTTATTCCTCCTCCCACCATCCTCGTGAGGTTCCTACTCTCTACCCCCGGAGTTTATTCCTCCTCCCACTATCCTCGTGAGGTTCCTACTCTCTACCCCCGGAGTTTATTCCTCCTCCACCATCCACGTGAGGTTCCTACTCTCTACCCCCGGAGTTTATTCCTCCTCCCACTATCCTCGTGAGGTTCCTACTCTCTACCCCCGGAGTTTATTCCTCCTCCACCATCCTCGTGAGGTTCCTACTCTCTACCCCCGAGTTTATTCCTACTCCCACCATCCTCGTGAGGTTCCTACTCTCTACCCCCGGAGTTTATTCCTCTCCCACTATCCTCGTGAGGTTCCTACTCTCTACCCCCGGAGTTTATTCCTCCTCCCACCATCCTCGTGAGGTTCCTACTCGCTACCCCCGGAGTTTATTCCTCCTCCCACCATCCTCGTGAGGTTCCTACTCTCTACCCCGGAGTTTATTCTCCTCCCACCATCCTCGTGAGGTTCCTACTCTCTACCCCCCGGAGTTTATTCCTCCTCCCACTATCCTCGTGAGGTTCCTACTCTCTACCCCCGGAGTTTATTCCTCCTCTCACTATCCTCGTGAGGTTCCTACTCTCTACCCCCGGAGTTTATTCCTCCTCCCACCATCCTCGTGAGGTTCCTACTCTCTACCCCCGGAGTTTATTCCTCCTCCCACCATCCTCGTGAGGTTCCTACTCTCTACCCCCGGAGTTTATTCCTCCTCCCACCATCCTCGTGAGGTTCCTACTCTCTACCCCCGGAGTTTATTCCTCCTCCCACCATCCTCGTGAGGTTCCTACTCTCTACCCCCGGAGTTTATTCCTCCTCCCACCATCCTCGTGAGGTTCCTACTCTCTACCCCCGGAGTTTATTCTCCTCCACTATCCTCGTGAGGTTCCTACTCTCTACCCCCGGAGTTTATTCCTCCTCCCACCATCCTCGTGAGGTTCCTACTCTCTACCCCCGGAGTTTATTCCTCCTCCCACCATCCTCGTGAGGTTCCTACTCGCTACCCCCGGAGTTTATTACTCCTCCCATCATCCTCGTGAGGTTCCTTCTCGCTACCCCCCGGAGTTTATTCCTCCTCCCACTATCTCGTGAGGTTCCTACTCTCTACCCCGGAGTTTATTCCTCCTCCCACCATCCTCGTGAGGTTCCTACTCTCTACCCCCGGAGTTTATTCTCCTCCCACCATCCTCGTGAGGTTCCTACTCGCTACCCCCGGAGGTTTATTCCTCTTCCCACCATCCTCGTGAGGTTCCTACTCTCTATCCCCGGAGTTTATTCCTCCTCCCACCATCCTCGTGAGGTTCCTACTCACTACCCCCGGAGTTTTTTCCTCCTCCCACCATCCTCGTGAGGTTCCTACTCGCTACCCCCGGAGTTTATTCCTCCCCCCACTATCCTCGTGAGGTTCCTACTCTCTACCCCGGAGTTTATTCCTCCTCCCACCATCCT